AAAAAAAAAGTGCTGGGATTGATGACTACTGTTGTGGGTAGAATAAGAAAAAGCAGGTCAAGGCCCAAGTATTTAGCATTATAGGTCTTTAAGTCTAGTTAATTTATTATATAATGTTGACTTTTCTTGGTTTCTCCCCCACCTCAAAGGATATTACAGACCTTTTTGGAGCAGATCTACCTGTTGAAGGTGGCAAGGGAGGAGAGTTTGCCTGGCGTGATGGCCCCTTGCTTGCAGCTCTGAAGGCAGGCCATTGGATTGTGTTGGATGAGGTGAGAGCACTGTTACATCCTTCTGAAGAGTAGTCATGCTTTTTATAGTTCTAGGGTATTTCTCAGTAGAAAATCATGCTGTTGGACTTTACTTTTACTATGTAGATTCACTTCATGTTTTTATCATGAATTTGGAATTCACTTGGGGATTTTATTTAGTATTTGAATTTCAAAATTTATATACCTATACATAAAGTTTTATAAAGATAACATTAATTTGTAATATCTTAGTTTCAGGTGTATAGCATTTTAATTCATCTGTATGCATTTGATCAGCACCCAAAAGTCTAGTTTCCATTCATCATTGCAGAGTTGACCCACTTTGCTACCTACTTCACCTCTAATGCTTCCTTACCTCTTTCCCCTCTGGTAACCATCAGTTCTCTGTATTTAAGAGTTTGTTTGCTTTGTTCTTTCATATGCTACCTATGAATAAAACCTAGATTGTTTCACTTAGTACTGTACCCTCAAGGTGTATGTCTGCACTAGTATGCATTCCTACTGAAGTGTACAGGGTTCCTTTTAAGTACATAAATAGTTATTTTATGTCATCTCTAAAAATCCCACAGGGTAAAAATGTGTGCTGGCAAATTTGTTTTAGCTATGGTTTATAGGATATATCAACATAGATACATAGATATATCTACATAGATACATACATACAATTTAATTTTAGAGAAGATTTTGTTTTTTAAAAAGTTCAATCTGAATATTCAGTTTACCTTAAAATATTTATATAGTCAATATCTTTTCAAAATTTTTATCATACCTATGAAATAATAGAAAATATATCAGCCCATCTCGCAACTTGAGAAATAGAATTACCAGTAAGTGCTTCTTAAGCTCCCTCTGCCTGAGAATAACATTATCTTACTTCGTATATGTTTTTCCTTTATTTATTGTTATAGTGTATATAATAAATATACCAACTTTCTTTGTTCTCCAAATAGCTGAACCTGGCTTCTCAGTCTGTATTAGAAGGACTCAATGCTTGTTTTGACCACCGAGGAGAAATCTATGTTCCTGAGTTAGGAATGAGCTTTCAGGTACAACATGAGAAGACAAAGATTTTTGGATGTCAGAATCCTTTCAAACAAGGAGGTGGAAGGAAGGGCTTGCCCAGGTCTTTCCTTAACAGATTCACTCAGGTAAGATTTGCTGTTGCTGCAGAGACTAAGGATCAACTGTTGACAGAACAACTATTAGCAAGTTCACTATAAGAATCAGAATCAGCCTAATGATCTCAATTTCATGACTTTATAAGATGAATATTAATGTGGCTGGTTCCCATTATCATTTATCTTCTGGTGTAAATCCCTTTGTCTTATGTCCTGGGGTCTTGGAATTATCAGTTGAGTGAGGGGAGAGTAAGGTCACCATCCTCTTCAGGATTTTATTGCATAAGACCACTCAGACCTCTTTTTTTTTTAGGGTGGGGC